GGTTCTTATTTTACCACGATTATTTCTATTTGGTTTTGATTTTTTGTTCAAGAGTAACTTTGATATAGATTATGATTAACATTTTTATTTTGCTAAATTTATCTGTTATTTGGTTAAATGTTGTTAATCATATTTTTGGATATTTGAATTCTGCGTTAGTGTGGTCTTTTGGTCTATTGATTTGTTTTTGATATTTTGGTTCGCTATATTAGGGTCCCTTAAATTTGCAAGGGATCCTGGGAAAATGAATGATGGCATGGAGCCAAACAGTTTTTTTACTGCTCATACTTTTGTATCCTCGTTTTGCTTTATGTTTTCCGTCTGTAAATTTTATTCATTTATTTTTTTGTGAACTAAAGAATCCTGTGTGAACAACAGCTTGGTGTCAGTTGGATTTTGTCTTTGGAGTACACCCAGCAAGGCATACAGTGTGGACATTTGGAAAGCTACGGGGAAAAAGTTAGTCAAACTGGGCTTCATCAACTTTAGACCATATAGATACAGTGTGACAGCTGCGACAGATGGTTCCATGCCCTGTGCCTGAACATGAAGAGCACAGAATATGAACAAGTTAAGAAAGTCACCTGGAGTTGTCCGTTGTGCAAATAAAAAGAAAATTTTGTACTCTTTTCAATGTTGTTTTAAAATAATGTAAAAAATGTAGAAAATAAAACTGTACATAGTTTTTGGCATAGAAGCTATTAAAAAATATTAGTAATTTATGGATATAAGTAATCAACAGAAATATTAAAATGGCTGAAATTGAAAATAAATTGGTGTGCCTCGTTTGTCCAGACTAGGTGAGTTATTTGACACTGATTTGGAGTCAGTGGGTCACATGACCTGGAAGCTATTGAAAAATATTAATAATTTATGAATATAAATAATCATAACAAATATTACAAAGGCTAAAATTGAAAATAATTTGGTGTGCCTCATTTTTCCAGACTAGTTGAGTAATTTGACACTAATTTGAAGTCAGTGCATCACATGACCTGGAAGCTATTGAAGAATGTTCCAAATTTATGAATATAATAATTCATAAAAAATATTTAAATTGATAAATCGAAAATAAATTGGTGTGCCTCGTTTGTCCAGACTAGCTGAGTAATTTGACACTGATTTGGAGTCACTGGGTCACATGACCTGGAAGCCATTGAAGAATATTCCAAATTTATGAATATAATAATTCATAAAAAATATTTAAATAGCTAAAATCGAAAATTAATTGGTGTGCCTCGTTTGTCCAGACTAGTTGAGTAATTTGACACTGATTTGGAGTCACTGGGTCACATGACCTGGAAGCTATTGAAGAATATTCCAAATTTATGAATATAATAATTCATAAAAAATGTTACAAAGGCTAAAATTTAAAATAAATTGGTGTGTCTCATCTGTCCAGTGCAGTTGAATATATCCACACTGGTTTTCAGTCACGAGGTCACAAAATAGAAAATTTATAAATTTTATTTCTCAAGGGTTCTTGGTTCAGAAATTCGTTGACGGTCCCTAAGTGAACTGTCGCTGGTTGGGTGGCAATGCAGCCGAGAGGAGCGAGCCGAAGTCTGAGTCCCTAAATCGGATCAACTGTGAGCAAGACGCCGCTGACTACGCGGAGCGCGGATATCCAATATCCAACTTCAAACTAATTTCACCGCGGACCAGCACCGGTCTTCGATCCATGAATGCCTCTTCAAAATAAAATAAAAAATGCGTCCTTCAATTGTCTTTTCCCAAAGAAAATAAAATGCTGGCCAGCAAAATGAAATGTATATATAGAGCTCTATATATGTGAAATGTGAAAGGGGGGTGGTTTTGCCTGCAATTATCCAAGAGATCCAGAATGGGACGCAGCAGCAGCTCCTCTTCTTAATGGCCACACGGAAACGGCAGCCGCTTCTTTAGACAATGTCCGTCCCAGCAAGGAAACATCACAGCAGCAGGCAATATCAGACTGGAGACGTAGAGTGTGGACACCCAACAGACACATGATAGTCTGAGCCCGCTCTCCCTCAGTTGCATGAACAACACAAATTACACTCAGTAAAATAATGACAAAACTATGATATAAACCGACACATTAATGTAAAATTGGGGCCTGCCTTACATAGTTAAGCTAAAAACAACACATTTGAACAAAGTTGACATACAACAGTTTAGCAGGGTTGCTAATTAGCTATTAGCATAAATCGTGATTAGCATGCTAATTGTTTTATTTTTCACCAACCTGGCGCTTCCTGTTCCGACGCTTCCACACCGGCATCTGGTACTCCTGCGAAGAAAACATCCACGAAGCAGGTGACAAGTGTCGGAACTTCACAGATTTGGCTCCGGCGTCCGAGAGAGCTACTGTGTGTCCATCGAGAGTGACCGGCGCCGTTCAACTGTTAGATCGCTCAACAAGTTGGGAAACACCAACATCCTCAGTCAGCACTGAGCTTCAGATTCAAAACAGCTGATTATCAACAAAGACGGGAGATATGGGTCCGAGGAAGATACTCGCGGCAAAAGAAGTGGTTGCTCGATTTCCTAGCTGAAGAAGTTTGTGCTGTCAGACTGCAGCAGAAAAACATATTGGACCTGGTCGAGGAGTTGAAAGTTCTGCGGGCACAGAATGCGGAGAAGGACAAGCGGCTCGCCCACCTGGAGAGGAGAGAGGAGGACCTGGAACAGTACACCAGGATGAACGACGTGATCGTCACTGGGCTCTAGATTAAAGCTTATTATTATAATGATCAGCTCATCATCAAGCTCTGCAGAAGCCTGATAACGATCCTGATCATGTGAATCAGGTGTGTTGGAAGAAGGAAACATCTAAAACTTGCAGGATTGCGGCCCTCGAGGACCGGAGTTCGAGACCCTTGGTTTAGAAGGATTCGTGCAAGCTAAGGGTCTCCTGTCGAGGGTAAAAATGTCTCTCCT